CCCCTGCGAGCCGCCCGGCCCGGGCTCGGGGCGGTGCCCTGCACGGTGCCAGAGCTGCTCTGCTGAGACTTGCTGCAGCCTCCCGCAGCTCTCGGCACCACGGGCCTCAACGTGCCAAGGGCCCTGGCCCAGGGGGCTGAGGCAGCTCACAGCACACCCAGGCTCAAGAAGCCTTTGTGAAAATGAAACCTAAACGAATGTACGCTATTTTCTCGAACTTGTGGGATTTCTGGACACCACCCATGGCACCAGCCTCTGACCAACCACCAGTCTTGGACCTTACTGCAGCTTTTCAGGACTTCCAGGGGCCTGTCAGAAAGCTGGGGACAGACTTTGCAGCAGGGCCTGTTGTGACAGGACAAGGGGGGGATGGTTTGAAACCAGAAGAGGCAGATTTAAACCAGAGAGAAGGAAGATATTTTTTTAACACCAAGGGTGTAAAAAGCAGAACACCAAGCAGCCCAGGTTGCCCAGAGAGGTGGTCGCTGCCCCATCCCTGGAAATATTCCAGGTCATGTTGGATGGGTCTCTGAGCAACCTGCTCTAGCTGCAGATGTCCCTGCTCCCTGCACAGGGGTTGGCCTAGATGGGCTTTAAAGGGTTTCCAACCCAAACCAGTCTGGGATTCTGTGATTCTACAAGGATCTCAGAACAGCAAAACCAAACAAAACAAAGTCCCCAGCCTCCAGGTGTGCTGTTTCACATCCACAGGGCTGACTCACAGTTTTCTAGAAGCAAAACTTTGATCTTCTCAGCTGCAACCTTGAGAAGTTAAAAGCAAAAATACATGAGGAAATTAACTGCAAAACTATTTGGCCTCAGTCCAAGTTTGCTTCCATCAAAATCAGTTTTAGAGAAGTAGTGTTATGGGTGTGGGGAACGAGTCTTGCATTGCTTCTACCAAAGGAAAAAAATAAAGATGTGACCAGAGGGGACAGTTACAGAAGATGCCACCATCAGTCTCAACATCAGAAATCACCACCCTCCCCATTACCAGCTGGCATTTCCACATCACAGATGGCCACGCTACACAGCTCCAAAACCTCCAGGTTTTACCTCAGAAAGGCCCAGGTGGTGAGCAGAGGCCTCTGCAGGCTCGCAGCCTGGGACCAGCTGCACAGCAGCCTCAGAGCTGAGCCCCACACACCTTGGGATTTCCCACAGTGACTGCTGCAGCAGGTGGTAAGAGGGGAAATCCTGCACAGCTCCCTCAGCTCCAGGAATCACAGTAATTTACCTTGAATTTTGTCTGATAATTTAGAATCTCTGTGCTCATTTGAAATTTTACTGCGGACAGCTCTTCTTGGCTGGTCTCTTGGAAACTCTCAGCCTGTTTCTTTACTGTCTCCAGCTGCACTTGCAGACCTGGGACAGCTGCAGCACATGACTGAGCCTCTTCTAGTTTCTCCTGCAGGCTCTTGTTCTCTTGTCTGAGATTAGAGATGTCAAGCTTCAGCTTCTCCTGGTGTTCTGCTGCCTGTTCTTCTAGCTCTTGGAGCCTTTCTGTGGCCTGAGCTAACTGCTCTTCTGCATCCACCTTTGCAGAGGTCAAGGCACAAATCTGAATACCAAGCTCAGCCATATCTGTGTTGGTCCTGTGGAGGAGATCTTTGTTTTCTTCATTTTCCATTCTAGCAACATCCAAGTACTGCTTAACCTTAGAGAGCTCTTCCTTCAAGTTCAACAAATTACTTTCCAGCTCAGCTTTTTGATGGGCTGTTGCCTCCTGCTCTTTTTTCAGCACTTCCTCTCTTTCTTTACATTGCACCAGTTCTTGCACGTGGTTTCTGTTGAGTGACTCACTTTGCTCCTTCAGCTGCTGGACAAGTGCCTTCTGCTCGCCCAAGGCAGTCTCTGTGACTGCCAGCTCACCTCTCATCTTCTCTCTCTCATCAGTGGTCTGCTGAAGCTTGACTCGTAGGTCGAGGACTTCTTCTTGCAGCCTAGACACTTCACCACGGCTGACCTCCAGCTGCTCCTCACTCACAGCCAGTCTGGAAGCCAGCTCTTTTGCCTCCTTCTCCAGAGAAGCTGCCTGCTGCAGTTGGTGTTTTTCCAGTGATTCCTTTTCTGATGTGAGGGACTCGATAAGCTCTGTCTGATGAAGGCACGTCTTTTCAACACTGAGCTTTTCCACCTCGAGAGTCTCTGCTTTCTTCCTATGTCTTTCAGCTTCTGCTCTTAGCTGCTCACATTGGCTCTCCATGCCTTGCAGTTCTACCTCCTTCTCTGTGAGCTGTGACTGGAGACACTCTTTGCTTTCCTTCAGGTTGCCTAAGCTCTTTTCCATTTGTAAACTCTGCTGTTTGGCATTCTTCAGCTGTCCTTCAAGTGAGGCATAAGACTCCTTGGTGGCCTCTTCTCTTTGCCTCAGTTCTTCATAGTCTGACTGCAGAGCCTCTAGCCTCTCCTCCAAAATTCCACTTTGCCTCCTGGCATTCTGCAAGTCTTCATCCAGCTGCTTGTTCTCATCCCAGAGCTTCTTCTCTTTTTCATCAACTGACACAAGGGCATCACCTACCTCACTCTGCAGCTGCTTCTCAGAGGCTCTCAGCCTGGCTACTTCAGCTTCCAGGGAAGCTTTAGAAGCTTCCAAATGTTTTAGCTTCCCTTCCATCTTCTTCTTGGACTGCTGCAAATCCGCATTCTCAGCTTTCAGCTTCCTGCTCTCCTCTTCCACTTCACTCAGTGCAGAGTTCTGCTGCTCCATCTGCTCCTCCAGCTCCTTCACCTTCTGGCTCAGATGCTCCTTCTCAGACAAGAGTTTCCGGTTCTGCTCCTCAAGGCCACGCACACTCTGACTCACCTTTCTTAAGTGACCCTCCTGTAGTTCAAGTTGCTCTGCTTGTGACTGGGCTTCCTGCTTCAGTGCTCCTTCCCTCCTACCATACTCCTCCTCAAGTTTCTTTCTTTCTTTCCTTGCTTCCTCAAGATTTTTTTCCAGTGACCCCACCTGAGCCAGCGACCCCATTACCTGGGTCTGGAGCTCAGCCATCTCCTCTCCTTTCAGGGTCAGGGCCTTCTGAAGTGCATCCTTCTCCTTCGCCATGGTTTCCAGGCTCCCAAGCAGCTTCTCACTCTCTTCTCTGGAGTCAGCAGTGAGGCGATTGTATCTGGACTCCAGTTCTTTCTGTGCCTCTTCCTTCAGCTGCAGCTCCTCCCGTGCTGCTTTCAGCTGAGACGCACGTTCCTCGTTGAGTCTCTGCATATCTGCCTTCTCCTTTTCTGTCTCCTGAAGCTTCTCTAGCAGTGCCCGGATATGCAGGGCAGAGTCACAGTGGGCTGTGGCTTGTTGTCCCTTTTCCTCCAAGGCAGCATCAACTCTTGCAAGGAGGTTGAGGTTCTTCTGTTCTGTGCAACTCAGCTTGGCTTTGAGGTCATCAATGCAAAGATCCTTCATAGCAACTGAAGACCTAGAGGCCTCCAGCTCCTCGTTCAACACCTGCTGTTCTGAGGCACAGTCGTCCTTGCTGGTCACCAGCTGCTCCAGCTTTGTTGAACATTCCTTCTGCTGCTCCCCTGCACTCAGCTCCATTGAGTGCAGGCTCTTCTGCAGGCCAGTGCTCTGAGCTGAGTGTGAGACCTGGCACTGCTGCTGTAACTCTGTGATCACCTTTGTCAGCCGTGAGTTCTCCTCGCTGTAGTTACAGCTCTTCTCCTTTTCTGCCTGTACTTGCTCTTTCTGAAGGCTGACAGCTGCCTGGAGCTCCTGGTTTTCCACTTCCAGCTGGTGAATACGATCTTGAAGTTCCCTCTGTCTCAGCTCAGCCTGATCAAGTTCTACACGCATCTCTTCAAAGCCCTCCAGGTGTTCAGCATTCAGTGTGCTGTTTGCATCAGGGCTGGAGGGAAACTCCTGGGCCTAAATGAACAGAAGGGGAAAACCAGAAAGATTAAGCATTAAACATGCATTTAAATGGTGTGCTCAAATGAGAGCAGGTTCAGGTTCTTAAGGCACAGTGATGCTGTGTGTTGTGTTCCCAGCATGACAAGACATCAACTACCAGGCAATGGGGCTTGTTTGCACAGAGGGTGAGTGGAAACACACCTACCTGCAGCCAGGCCTCTGGACACATTGCTTTCTTTGCCTCTACAAGATTTACATGTTCAGTTGAATGAGCTACTGGACAATTCCCTTTAATTAAGAAGTCCCTCTGTAGTTTACCATTCTAAGAGTTATAATCACCACAGAACTGCCAAGCTCTTCAGAACCATGCCATTAATTAAACATCTACCATACCACAGAAACATTCATTTGAAATGTGCTCACCTGCAAATAACTGCTCACTAAACTGCTCATGCTGGAACTGCGACTCGGGGGCTTCCATAAATATGCTGAAGACCCAAATGAGGACAGTGTCCTCCTGTTGGCCACACAGAAAAACAATACAAGAGAAGTTTAAGCACAGACATACATTTCTATTCTAACATGTCAGATTTATCTAGTTGTAACTACCACACACAAGAAGACATAGCTGCACCTGGTGTCTGGGCCAACAACCACTGAAGCTGATGCCAAACAAAATCAGAAGATTAAAAGATTAACAAATAAAACAGGCAAGATTAAGGGGTTGGCAGCCAGGACTCCCCACATCCAGGGGAACCAGTGCAGTTTTGCTCTGTGAAACTGTTGCTGTGTGGTGGTGGCTCAACCAGAGGGTGGCAGCAAGCAGCCCTGGAAACCTCCCCCTGACCCAGGGACATGGAGCAGGGCGGGTGGGGTTTGTTATCCCCCCTCCGAGGTGGGATCAGGCTGCAGCGACCACTCGCTGCCCCCTCGGGCACTGCTGCAAGCAAAGCACACTGCCTGGCTGGTCAGTCACGGCCTGTCTCTGCTCTCAGAGCAGGAGGAGACAAGAACACTTCTACCTTGTGCCTGTGAAGACAAGGAGAGCTGGGGATTTGGGCCCACACTGCAGTTATGGGAAGTCCTGTGCTACAGATCACAGTATACTGAAGGAAAAAAAGGCCAGATTGGTCACAGACTAATCATAGAATCATAGGGGTTG